TCCTGTCCTTCCCAACAGCTTTCTTCCAGGAAAGACCAGGGTTCTAGTTTCAACTCCCACTACCCAAGCTTGGAGAAATCCCAGTCTCTCTCTGAGCCTCAGATTCCCTTTTTATAGGAGGAAGGGACCGGACCACACAAACTATAAAATTCAGAGACTCTATAAACAGAATGTAAAAGATAGCTTATTTTCATGCTAACAATCACAGAAAGGGAAGAGAATCAGTAACAGAAGTATTTAAAATAATCTCAGCTACACAACTGTACAGAAAACAAAATCTAGCTAATAAGGGATGACTGGGATAGTGTAATTGCTTGCACAAGTCAAAACCTTCTCAGTCTGTTTTCTCATCTGCCAAATGAGGATAACAAATTACCACTCAAGTTTGTTATAAGGCTTAAATGAGAAAACACGTAAGTGACTCTCCGAACACCTGGCATGCAACAGGTCTAAGTAAATGTTGATTCAATCTAGTTTCATGTGTCTCTCAAGTGAATTTATAAGTGTGACATCCTTTGTATAAGTTAACAAAAGATACGCAAATACAATGACATTATGTAAACTGTTTCAAAAATGAAATTTTATAATTGGCATTTTGGAAAATTGAAGGCTTGTGGCTTTGAAAAACAACAACTATTATACAATAAATCTACTAATAGCTGCTTCTGTAGAGACCTAAAAGAAAACGTTCCTCTCTCTACCCCACTGCCACCCCCAGGGGAAAGGGGCTTTCCTTGCCTTTGATTTTAAAAGGATATCTGATTTCTTACAGCCATTACAGAGTCAAATAATAAGACTGGTTCAGATACAACAGTGAAGTGAAGGAGCAACAACTCCTCTTACTTCAATTCTGCACTTAAACCAATAGACCCAAGTCCTTTGAAATATGATCATCAATGCAATTATGCGCTGAACTGCCGTAAATTAACAGACAGTCATCTGGGAAACATAAAACAAACCTGTGACAATGTGCTTCTAATTGCACGGGAGATCAGGATGTTAGTGATATTTTATATTCTGCTTCACTGCCCACTAAGCAGCATATATCTTCATAATAATGCTTTTTCCAAGTAGAAACAACCCAAGGAGTCATAACTCAATTTCTAAGATGAAGAGGAAACCAAAGGGAAAAAATATACAACTGAAACAATGCCCCTAGTATTTGGACCAGAGGTGGGAGGGGCAGGAGAGAGAAAGAAAGGGCCAAAATAAATTTAAATGACGGCTTTGATATTGTTCTTCAGGTTTGTACAGCAAGCTAAACTCACCCCAACTTCTCTCTTTCAATGATTCAGACATCTCCAAACGTCCAATAATAAAAAACGGCCTGCCTGCCATGTGCAGGAATCTGGCCTGGGCAAAGGGGTAGGTTACAGACCTCCACAGAAGAATCCTGCTCGTGCTAACGAAGTTCAGTCCACAAAGCACAAAGCCCACTTAGCACACATATGCCATCCAACCAACCGCTTAGTATCTTTATAAACACGAGTGAAAGATAAGGTTACATGTCACACGAGGGCTGTGGCGCAGAGCACAGGCTCCTGTGTGCTCTCAGACAGATACCCAGTCTTTGTTGTTTTGAGACAGGATGGAAACCGGTGGGAGAGGCTGCCCCCTTGTGTCCGTCTGGATGCAGCTGTGGCCTGGATAGAGCTGGAACAGGGGCTGCACAGTCCTTCGTGGGCTTAATGGCTTCAGAGAACAATCTCTGCCACTCAGCCCCTGCCCAGAAATCAAGGCCGGTGTGAGAATCACACCGATCTCCGAGAACGTGGCAGTGCCTTGGAATTGGCTCAAGAATGAGAAAGCCGCCTGGCCCTCTGGAGGCACAGCCACGTGTAGCTGGTCCTTGTGACATCACACCATGAAGAATACTGTACAAAATCACAAATGGGGCAGACGAGCTCTCTAGACTAGGAGGCACCTGAGCCCTGCCTTCCCTTGGGAGCATCCTCAGCCCAGGAGATCAGAAAGGGGCTTTGAGTGACTCCTGGGGGCAGTTCTCGCCTCAGGCAGCTGAGGACTAAGCTCCCGCTCGAGTGCACCAAGGCTAAGGAGCCGAGACACAGAGTACGTCTGCTCCTGACCTCACACAGCCCAGCCTTTTCCAGTCCAGAGTGCACCTGTGTACCTGCCAGAATGCCTGGGACACGCTGAGGGAAGGGAGAAGCAATTAGCGTCAGTGTACTGAGTGAGCTAAACAAAGAATCTCTAGGGGTAACATCACCTTGGCTCTGGGGTTCTGGACAATGTCATCACATTAAAATGTCTCTGTCCTGACAGCCTTTACTGAGAGATGTTCAGACTAAAAGGATTTTGCTCTCACCTATAAAATCCCAGAGTATTATAATGAAAACCAAATGTGTTCACTTCTAAAAAAAAATGTTTTCTACACTTTCTAACTTACTTTTGTACCTAAGAATATTTTAAACTTTGAAAAACATAAATGCTGAATAGTAGGTAGCTCTGGCTGTTCATGTGTTCTCCCAACTAAGCTCAGTGATCTTATTAACTGATTTACTCATCCCACCAATATTCACTGATTAAAGTAAGTTCTTTCCAAGTAGAAATGTTGGCAATAAAGTATATTTAAAAGAAATTCACTAGTAAGTGCACTTAAAGTATTACAAAAGTACCACACGGCTTAAGAACAACAAGCTGTTGAGATTTTCCTTTAAATAAGTCAAATCAAAGGCTCTGACTCCTCAGCTACCCACCAACTGAGGAGACGCACGCACTCATTCAAACCACACCAACTTCCTACCAGCCTAGCCGCCTACCACGGCAGAACCAAAGCCAGTTCAGAAAAAGGCTAAGTAGTCTTTATTATTTTCCTCATGCTGTAAAAAGAGGAATATCATATTTCCTCCTAAAATATGCCCCTGAAATTTTAAAAGATTTAACCATATGGAAGAGATCTGAAAGTGTGTAAGAAAAGGCTAAAGACTTGGAATCCTAATTCAATTTCCCCTCACATTTTAACAGGAGTCTGCAGCAAACGTTTACTTTTAGAGATATTCGCATCAGGAAACAGAACAAAAGGCTATTGTGTGTTAAACATGTGAGGTCTCTCCAGTCCCATCTATACAAACTTTTCAAACATCAGGTTGGAATTAAATGATTTTAAACTTTAAATTAACTATTTCCAGACCACAAAATCTATTCCACACTTACCGGTCAGTATAAATTCTCCAAGTGAGTTATAGCTGAGTTCAAAAGTAAAATCTGCATTTTTCAAGTGCCAATAAAAGAACTTTCCTTTAGACTCTGACACACACACACACACACACACACACACACACACACACACACACGGACTTGTTAAGAATGCCATTGGCTGTTTTCATTTCCTCCGCCAACAAAAATTCTCATCTGCCTTTGATACATCTGACTCCATATCACTTCTGATGGGAAGCATATGGGTATCAGTCACATCACTCTCTACTATTTTCCTATTAAACAGGAATCACAACTCTTCCCCTAGATTAACAAAACTGAACAGAAAAAATGAAATTTACAGGCCTGCCCTGATCACTATAAACATCACTATGACTTAATTTGTAATCTGTGTCCTATCACAGGCCTGTTAAACATATAAAAGAAAACGAGATTTTCTATGATTAGTGGTGTGGCCATTTTAAAACATGTCCACAAGTTCTTTGACATGTCTCCCATCAAAAGGTGGAGTTAGTTCCCTCCCTTTGGATATAGGCCAGCCTCATCAGGGACTCCCTTCTGTCTAATAAAGAGAAAGTGGCAGAGCAGGGTCACAAAAGCTGACGAAGCTTCCTCCTTCCTCTTCCCACTGGGATGCTCCCAAGAAGGACCCGGCCACCAGGCTGTGAGGAAGCCACACGTCCCAGGCCCCAGGCCCACTCCCAACCAATGTCCCAGCAGACAACCAGCATCAACCACCAGCCATGTGAGTGAAAATGGCCTTCGGACAATTCTAGTGCCCAGGCTCTGAGCACCTCAAATGACACCATGTGGAAGGGAAAAAAAACAGTCCAACCAAACCATGCTCAACTGCAGACTGGAGAAAATAAAAGCTGTCTTTGTGTTAAGTCCGTAGGCTTTGGGTGGCTTATTACGCAGCAACAGATAAGTAGAACTTGCAGATTAGTTCAACCAAATCAACCACCCATCGTATGCTTTTCATTTCACCACCCCGCTCCAAAAGACAAACCTCTTAAGTTTAAAAAAACACAAAAATACTGTGCTGACAAACCTTGTCTCAGTCACTCAGCTGAGCAACCTGATGGCTGGAATCCCAGCATCCATTACCCTTGGCTGCCAGCTGGCTTTCTCTTGGGATGTTTGCTTTTCATGTACTAACAAACCAGAATCCTTGGCCTTCTCCTCTGTCCTACCTTAAACTCATTCCTAGCTTTGAAAAGTGGCTCTTATTAAATGCATGGCTTATGAAACTGCTGCTACTGTCACATATGCTCTAGTTTTTAAATCAGTGAACAAGTGATGTGTTGCCTAAAAAGGTAAATCTGACTGTATGGCTAGTAACTAGTTCCAGATGCTTTGATGGAGCCACTCAAATGGGTTACCAACCCAACCACATAACCAAATTAAAAATTTATCATTCATTCTAATGAGCACCAGGAAGGGAAATATCCTAATTACCGAAACAAGACTGTTCTCCAAGAAACACAAGCCTTAAGTTTCCAATAATTTAGAACTAGAAGAGTCTTAGTCATCTAGATGGACATGAGCAGGAACTCTTCTTGCCACCAAACAAAAGGAACCCCAGCTTAGAGCACTCACAGACTACTTAAGCAGCACTTTTTCTTAAAGAACTACCACATTTCACACCAAGTTATGGATCTACATGCTAATTACTAAAATGCACCATGTAAAAGTCTAAGCACACCGGATAAAAGAACCAGACTAAAAACGAGATCAGTTATTTCCCTCAGAGATTTCACTAAGTTTGTGACATGTTAGGTAAACCCCCAGAACAGACACACATGACACAAAGCACCACCCACCTAGCACGTTTCCTGGAGGCACCTCCTCTAGATCTTGCAGCTCCCTTCCCATCAGGAGATACAGGTGCTCCAGAGTGCAGGAGGCCATGTGGGGGACAGGAGGAAGGTCACCTAGTGGAGCTGAGAAGCCTAGTGGCACCTGGGAAAAGAAAAATGACAGAATGTAAGTTACGAAGCATTAAATGAAAACCTTAGCCAATATCTATAAAGTTATTGTAATTCTTAAGTAAGATGCGGTGCAGTCACATTTCATGTAAATCTGCAACATGAAAATCTGAAGTGGTGTTATATAAAAATGTCTCACTTCATGAATAAAATCTCATACAGTGAAACCTCTCATATTTTTAAAAATAGTCAAGCCCTGGCCGGTGTGGCTCAGTTGGTCAGAGTGTCATCCCATAAACTGAAAGGTCATGCGTTCCATTCCTGGTCAGGGCACAGACCTAGGTTGTGGGTTTGATGTTTCTCTCTCTCTCCCTTTCCTTTCCCCTCTCCCTAAAATCCATAAAAACATAGGCTCAGGTGAGGATTTTTTTAAAAACTATAAATATATGAAACTAGTCAAGAATCCGAAATAATCATAAGCTTTATAGCTCAGTTGATAGAAACCCTGTTGCAAGCTGGTGATACCACATAAGCTAATAAACGAAATCCCCATACACAGCCCCTTGCTAGTACTGCTGTGAGCACGGTCACAGACCATGTTCTGGTGACAACTGCTATTATGTGAACACTCGTCATTACTCTCATCACCTAAAACTGTTTTAATCTTATTACAATGTCCTTCAAGCCCTTAACAACAGCCGGTGCCAGTGCCCAGGAGCCATGAAGATGAGTCATGCAAGATGCAAACGTGCTGCAAGGGTGACAGGTGTCTGAGCCCCCATTCTGTTTACTCTAGAGGAGATGCTGTCTTGAGTTATTTGGGCCCCACACAGATGCTGGTGTCCGAGAGCTTTCAGTCGCCAGCTTATCTTTGGCACCTACGGGCCCAAGGTACCATGCAAGTGCTACGAAGAGGAAAAGATAACGATGTAGCATATACAAAGCTAACATCATGAGCATAAAGCAAGGGACAAAAAAAGCAATACAGCAAATAAACCCACTGAAGCTCAGAGGAGGGAGAAGCTGTTATGTTAGGTTAAACTTGGAATCATGAAAAAAACAATGGCCTCCAGGCACATGTGACATCACACGTGCATGTTCCGACTCAATGACCACTCTGCAGGGCAGCTCTGAAGACAGGTGGGAAAGAAGAATTAAATACGATTAACAGAATGACCCACAGACAGTATGAATGGCTACTTAACCTACAGATAAGTTACCATTAGCAAGACGGTCTAGCAAGGTCGCTAGACACAAGGTCAACATATAAAAACTATGTCTACAGATCAGCAATAGAAAATACATGTTTCTAAAAACACTAATTTTAAGAATAGCAACAAAATATAAGTTAGGAATAAGTCTAATAAATGTGATTAAAGATCTTAATGGAGAAAATAATAAAACTTCAATGAAAAACATTTAAAGTAACCTGAATAGACAGAGACACCCAACACACTGCATAATGCTGACTCACGACAAATACAGGCACGGCTCACAGCGGTGCCGGTCAGTCCCAGCAGCGCTTCTCACGGAGCCTGATGAGTGAGTTCTGTCATACTGCTTCTTGCTCATCCTGACTGGCTCCCCGGACCTCAGGCACCTTCACCCTCCTATGACCTCCATTGTTTAATTACTATGCATACGGCTTATGTCCAAAAATGTTCTGCCACAGCTCTAGTGTGTGGTTTCCTTTTGCCCCTTGGCTCTGGCGTATTTGGATGCTAGCTGTTCACCTGCTCAGATCCCCATTGATCAATTCCTGGGATCTGCCTGCCATGCACTGCTGCTCACTGCCCACGCAATTGACCTGGGTCACCAGGATTTGGATCTCCCCATTTCTTGAAGATCTGTCCTGGCTCTAACATGACATCTGTTCTTACCAGTTCTTTCCTCAAGCCAGGAAGAGAAAAGTCTTGTAATTATTAAGGCCCAAAAACTTGGTTCACATACTAGTTTAGTTTCCTAAGTGCTACTAAGTGAGAAAGGTTTACCAAATGTTCCCAAGGCAACACAACAGGAGATACACGAACTCACCCGAATGTGCCTTTCTAGAGACAATAAATCTGCCAATAGTGTAATTATCAATCTCACCAATACGAAAGACATCAAAACCTTGAAAATGTACACTGAAGTTTTACTTCCAATTCTTACCCGTTGCAAAAACTCAACAGGACTGTATTTGGGCCCCAAGACAAAAATTTTCTTTCCTCTTCGAGCCACACCACTAAACACCCGAGCGAACGCGATAAACGTCTCTTGGTTGTCTTCTTCCTCTGGCACAGGCTTAGGGGCCATGCTCTCCACCTGCTGCTCTCTCCCTGCCAGAAACAAAAGGGTAATAAGTGCCAAGAATGCCCTCTCCAGTCTGGGAACTGACGGGAAACAGAGGGGAACAGTGAATATGACAGATATTTGGACCAGTTTCAGCAAAGAAACACCAAGAATAAAAGAACATTGATAAACACTATAATGAAGGTGGAAGCTCAAGAGCTACGGACGAGTGTCCCAAATGAAGCAGAAGGTATTCTGCACCACAGCCAATTTAGGGAAGCTGTACCTGTCGGCTCTTCTCCCTCTGGACTTGCTCCAAGGGCACTCCCGTCGGAGGTGGACTGGCCCTGTGCTGCTGCGAGCTTCTCTGCGTGCCTTTGTCTTGCACGCTCACGCCTCTGCATAATTTCTTCTTGAGTGAGAGGTCTACAGGATATCACACATACGTTAGCATATGGCAACAAGCATCTCTCAGTCGGCTCAAGCAGGAAAACAGCAAGTATTAGTGTGACTAGATAAGATGACAATTGGTCCCAGGTCCCTTCCAGGCTGAAGGTCCCTCCAAGTTCTCTGCCCAGCCCTAGCAACAGGAGAGGCGGCCTATCAGGCTTTCTCTGAGAATGTGGTGTCCCCAGCTGTTCTGATCTTATGAACTGGCATCCAAGAGCCCACGTCCCCACGCAGCATGCACCTTTCTCAGATACCCATCCTCCCACCAAACATACACCATTTCCCAGCCTACTCCCCCCGACCCTTACCTTGGCCTATTCTGAGGCAAAGCTTTAGCATCAACTGGAAACATTTTGGAAACAAAGATAATAACTGGAGCAGTGTCTTCACTTCCACATTTCATAAAAGCTAAACAAACAGAAAGTAAATGTGTCAACATTTTTTCCCTTATTAAAAATCCAGACTTTTCTGGAGAACAATCTAGATGTTCTGACCATGGCATCGTCTAGGATGTGAGCAGCCTATGGTCCTTTACAGCTACAGTGAAAAGCCCATTTAGAAAACTACACAACTGCTAGAAAAGTAGAGCAAGAGCAAGTAGCACTGGCAAAAATGAGGAAACAAAAGCAAATTAACAGGGTGGGAGGAGGGCTGGGGGAACTCACACAGAGAACTGGAACCAGTAAATGGGTTAACCACCCACCACAAGCCCTAATAAATGTTCCCCTATATCCAACAGAGAAGGTACAGAACTGAGGAATGCTACCCAAGGTCACCAGTCAGCAAGGGAGCTTGTTGATAAAATACATAAAAATCAGTAATAGACAAAAATGTATTATCATGACAGTAATAAAAAGCCTTACAAATAAATTAAGGTCCATTATTATTAAGATGTCAATTTTCCCCTAAATCTATAAATATCTTTTTTTTTTAAATCCTTACCCAAGGATATGTTTAGAGAGGAAGGGGGACTGGAGAAAGAAAGAGAGAGGAAG